GGGATACCAAGAGATACCTGTTGGGTTTATTCTGTCGCCTTTCGCTGCCACTTTGTAATTCACCCTTTTTTGCCGCCTCTCACTCGCCCCTTCAGCAGCTCCGAGGCGACAGGCGTGTGTGCATTTCTTTCTCGTTCCGGTTCGTCTGTACGTACGCCACCGCGACAGCAGTAGATCGGTTTGACCCGGCGAAGCGAGCAGGCTTGGCGAGGCGTGGCATGTGACGTTTCGGGTCGGCGGAAACCGGGATCCTCTGGGATCAGCTGGTCTGCTCAGCAGCGAGGCCCGGCGGAAGGGCCCTAGTCCGACTGGGATCCGCTGGGATCGGCAGGTCTGCTCAGCAGCGTGGCCCGGCGTGAGGGCCATAGTCCGACTGGGATCCGCTGGGATCGGCAGGTCTCTGCTCAGCAGCTTTGCCGGGCGGAAGGGCCCTAGTCGTTGAACGTCTCCGGCCGAATCAGAAACCTTGGGCCAATAGTTAGAGGTCCCGCGGTCAGTCGAGTCAAGTCGAGTGGCGACAAGAGGATGCTGGGGGCCCGGCTGCTCCACCGTTATACAGATGAGCGCACCGCGCCGCGCGTCCGTCTGTGAGTGAGTGAGTGAGTTGGGGCCGAGGGACGGCGGAGGGGGGTGTAATAGCGTTGCGATTAATCCGCGCTCGAAAATGAGGCGCGATATTTGATGGCTGCGTTATCGGCGTCCAGTTTACGCCCTTTGTGAGGCCGACACGTCGCCGCGTTGATGCTGCCAATCGGCCGCGATTCATCGTCGTTCGACGGCAGGCCAATTCCCCTTTATTTTCGACGTCTTCTTCTTTCTTTTACGAAGCGCCTTTTTTAAAACCTTTTGCATCGTCGTTTCCTATAACTCCGCCAGTTGGTCGTCTCGTTAATATTGTCAAAAAAATACCACGACTAAACAGCAAATAAAAACCGCGCAAGCTCAGCGCACTATTGCAATGGTGGAAATGCACACACCGCTCACTCACTCACTCCGCTTTCCCTAACGAGCTTATTTATACTAGCGCAGGGGCGGCGCTCATAAATCATGCGGCTCATCCCTGCCTGTTTAGCATTCATCTCTCTCTCTTCGCGCCTAATTAGGCGAGATCCCCCCCCCCTCT